GTGTTGTACTTTGGTAGTTTGCAGGCTCCATGATCCTCTGGTCCCAGCTCCTGTACTGCTGCTGACCTTTAGAAGGATTCTGCTCACTAACTCTGGGACAAGGCCCTTAATGCATTTACAAGTCGGTTTTAAAGAAATCCCCCAAATTATCAAAGCTTGAGAGATCCTTCAGCCATCGGAGTGAGATTTTCCAAAGATGCCACTTCACTGGTTTCTGTCTAAAACGTTCAGAGCCGCAGCAGCATCAGAGGTTTGAAAGCAGATCGACTCCAAACAGTGACACAGTATGAGGGATGAGACAGAATCATGGCAGGAATCCAAGATGATACCCAGATATTCAAACTCATCCACTTTTTGGATTTCTCTCTGATCTATCACAATGGAAACGTTATTCCAGACTTTACACCGGATTGTAAAACACCCTGAGACCGTTTTGTTCCAGCTCAGAGTCAAAGAGTGATCGTTGAACCACCGAGACACTCCCACCACCTCTGTTCAGCTCTGCTGTCTGCTGTGGAGTCTTTGCAGATACATATGTAACAGCATCATCTGCATACATCTGACACCTTTACAAGTGTCCATCAGTCACCGATGTAGAAAAAAGCAGCAGTCCTAAAACAGACCCCTGTGGAGCTCCCACACAATTTTGAAAGCTTGATTTCATTACATTAACTCTTCTCTATTTGCAGATATGAGCTGAGACACTTTGGACTAAGGTCTTATTATTACAGGTGAGTATTCAGAATAGCCCACCCTGCACAGGTATCAGTCTGTCACCTTCATCTGTCACAGGCTGTCAAAGCTACAGTACTGCAATGTCTTTAACTAAGATTTGTTATGATTGAGTTATTGATTTCTCTTATGCTATAACTTCAAAAAACTCAAATATGTCACAGTAACAAACCCATGGCAAACCACACTAACAATTTTAAACACGCTTTTATTCCGGTTGTCGTTCTTTTACACGCAGCTGCAGCTTTTCAGCTGAACACACACCAACAACAACTCAGTCAGGACCCAGTACGGCTCTAATGCAGCCGTGCTGTCAAACATTCCCACACACTGGTGACACAGATATTATGTCAATATGCAGAACTCTCTGGGTCACGACTACTGTAAGCCACCTTTCTGATGAAGATGATTAGCCACAAAATCATCAT